AGACTAAAACTCTGGAAGACGTCAGTACTCGGGTTTTTCCCTTCCTGCTCTCTTGCAAGGTGGAACTTTTTGATTTGAGTATGTTACGTTTCTTTGCAGCAAAGTGCAAATCCTTTTAGGTGAGGGCTGTGCTCAGGGACAGCGAGTAGTGACGTCAGACAGCCCAGGAGAGATGCACTAGGCTGGTCCATGGACCACCCTGTAAACCTGGGTTTGGGGCAGAGAACTCTCCTGGTTTTGACCAGGACAGAGTAAGTTCTTCTTTAGCAGCTAGAAGAGCTCTGTGGTTTGGATTTAGTCTGGGATTTGTTATGAGAAAATTGTTGATAACGCACTGATGTTTATAGTTGGCACTGAGACCTCAAGGACCTTTCAGCTTCCCATGTTTTGCCAGCATGCAGGAGCACAACAGGCTGAAGGGGAGCATGGCCGGGACAAAGGGAACACAACTCCTATTATAAATTGAACTTAGATTTAGGATTGAGGGCTAAATCGGCCAATGAAGTATTCCATACCATGCAGCGTCATGCCCAGTATATAGATGAGGGTTGGCCAGGAAGAGGTCTGGCTCTTCCATGGGCTCTCTCTTGGACTCTCGGTCTCTCAAAGTTCTCTCTCTCTCTCTGTCGCTCTCTTTCCAGGCCTCTCGTTCATCTGGGATTGCGGTGTTGAGACTTATCTTTTTCAGGATCATTTGGTGGGATGGGACAGGTGTTGGTCACTGAGTGGCCAGCCCTTACACTGTGCACCACTTGCTGGTATATATCATTATTTTATATATATTCTTCATATATTATTATTTTTATTTTATCATTATTACTTTTAATTTTATATTATTGTGAAGTTGTTCTTATCTCAACCCATGAGCCTCCTTCCCCTTTCCTCTTTAATTCTCTTCCCCATTACCTGGCACTGGAGGAGGGTGAGTGAGCGTCTGCGTGGCGTTTAGCTGCTGGCTGGGCTAAGCCACAACAAAGACCCAGGGCTTCCATCAGGCAAGTGCAATGGCCTGGCTGTGTGTGGGGAGGTGGCCATGCTGGCCCAGCCTGCTGCTTGAACTGGCCCCTGGGCTGGAGCACAGCTTTAACTCCATCACTGGGCCATGTAGTGACAATCTCTTACTGTCACTCAGCAAAAGCAGAGATGATGAGCAAGTCACCACGGTGACCACCCTGGTGATGGCTCCAGGCCACGATCTCAACTGTTGCCATGCCCACTGCTGGCAGTGAGTGGGAAATACTCTTTCTTGGAGGGAAAGGATATTTTCCGTTAGTGGTTGCAGAGGGGTAAGTGCTGGGTTCCTGCTCTTTGTCAAGGCTGTCGCTGGAGAGGTCAGAAATCATTTATTTTTAACGCTATGAATATGTAGAAACTTGCCTGAGCTTTTCCACGCAACGGCCATGAATTTAATGATGGCATCAGAAATCGTGGCAGTCGGTATCCTGCGGATTGGGTCAGAGCTATAAATTTCTCAAATTGGTGTGCGAGCTGTTTGCCATACGTGACTTTCTGCATTTGTGGTCATTTCTCTACCACTGTGTGCTGAGTGTATGACTGAGCTTTTATATTGCACCTCTGAGACACAAAGTCCTCCTGGTGCTTTTGCTGAGCATCCTAAACAGCCTTGCTCTCCTCCTCCTCCTCCTCCCCCTTTGCTAAAGGCTTCTGGCCGTAGCCTGGCCCTTAAATCATGGGCTGCCCCTGGGCAGGCGTAGACTGCGACTGTCCCCAGACAGAGGGTGTTTGTTTTGAGCGATGTGCCTCTGCTCACGGGCAGCTCAGCCTTCTGAGAGCAGCTGCTCTGATGCCAAGACAGGCCCTCCGACACAGGCACCGGAGCCTCTGCCCATGGGGCCAAGTCCTGTGAAAACCTCTGAAAGATTCAGCGAGCCTTTTCAAGGACAGGAATTCCGTGTACAAAGGGAGAAAACGGTCAGTGAAGGTATCAGGGTGGGGGTGGTGGTGTCTGTTGAAACGGTCTGTGCTTGGGAGGAAAGCTTCAGCAAGGAAGCTCACGTTTTGGGTGCTGGAAGGCAGTGTTGCCATCTACCTCCTCCACATACTTCACTGCCTGTGCTCTTTCTCCAAAGCCTGTATCAGTTCTAGATATAAAAGCTTTTTTATTATAAGACTACTTTTGCTCAGTGAATTAAAACGAGGCATTTGCACCCCACAGTGTCACCGAAAATGCAGACAGAAACTCTCAACACAGTTTGCAGTGTTAGAAAGCGGCATTACTTATTGTGGCACCTGGTGCACGGGGGATATCTGCTCCTGGCTGCACACCTGGCCCCTGGACAGAAACTTAGTTATACACTACGATCACGCGTGTTCATAACATGTTTACATATTCTTGTAAACAATTGGTCAACTTTCTCTTGCTTTACACGCAAATTACTTTGCGTGCTCAGTTCTCTTCCTCCACCCCTTTCTTTTGGGTCTGGGGTATGTTTAGGGTAGGTGGTCCATGAGTTGGTGGTCACAATCTCCCCCTGCCAGAACTACCTTTTCAAGTCACTGCTGCACATGCTCACGGTTCAGAAAAACATGAGAACAAAGTTTATACATTCTCTGGGATGTTTCCTTCAAGGGCAGACAGTTCTTGATAAAAAGTCTCCCTTCTAATCACTCCCGGCAGCTTCAAGGATGCTCATCTTGTTACGTTTCTTAGGTATGTGCAAACCGCCTACTAAACCCTTCATGAAATTCTTACAAAAGTTGGGTAACAACAACAGCAGCAGCAATCCCTGGCTGGTCGCAGCCCCTCTGCTCAGCCTGGGAGAGGACACAAGCTGTCATGGTTTGAAGTGGGGGGGGAGTTCCTTTGTCCCGACGTAAATAGGGCAATTCACAGAGGTGCCGATTGGCTCAAGCCCTGAGGGGGATGGGAGTCCAGTCTGATGAGCAGCTTCTGCCACCCGGACCTCCCCTCCCACTTCAAACCATGACACAAGCGCAGCAGCAGGGCACAAGGCAGTGTCATTAAAGCCCAGCTCTGCTGAGGTGCCCCCATGTATCGAAATGGGGCTGCCTTGTTCTACAGATCTGCTCCCTAGCAGAGCCAAACCACTAAAGGCAGCAAGATGTGACTGAGATGTTTCCTAACTAATTTTTAATCCTTTTGGCATCGCAGTGCCAACACACAAACATGAACTATATCCACGGGACTGTTTGTTAAATTCTGGTCTTGTTGCAGTGGTGAAACCCCATTGAGACACTTTTGTTACATGCTGACAAACCAAAAACGTTGATTTTCTCGATGTGGCTGAGAATCGCGTCTTGCCTGCAGGATGCTGCTGATGTGACACGCAGGTGGTGTTGGGGTCTGAGCCCAATTAGAAGGCTACAGCAGCACATTTGAAACTGCACACTTCTGGGTCAAAGATAGAGCTGATATGGCCCCTACTACTAACTCAGTCACTTTCAAAGCCAAAAGTCTCCAAACTATGCACACTGCTTAGTTTCCTCTTTCCTTCCCAGCCAGCCAGAGGAATGAGAGCTTAATCTTGCCCCATCCAGTAGCTGAAGTAATGGCACCCACCAAGGTAAAGGGCCCATCAAGGTAAAGATTCTGTGCTTGTTACAAGGGAATCTTCGAGCCTTTTCAATTTAATCCTTTGCCAGGTATGTTTTTTTTGGTTTTATAAATTCCTAGATTTCTGACCTGTTGGTGTGTATCTCGAGCACTTACCGTTGTTCATCAGGGCGCTGCCAACCTGCAATATGCATAAAAGCAGAGAGAAAGCACCTTTGCCACTGTGATTTTTCAACTATAAATTGCTGGAAGATGGTATTTGTGAAAACAGTACTAGCTTCACGTGCAGGGAACAGGCATCAGGCAAAGGAAATAGCAGGAAATGGGGCTAGTGGTGCAGGGTTATGAATGTGGAGACAGGTGAATGACAAACTGGTTTGTAGGTGCTAATAGACGTGAGCAAAGATAAGTTTTGAAAGTCAAGGTTGCACAGGCGTTGTCTCAGAAGAACCCCTCTGAAGCTATGGCTAGAGCAAACACCATTCTCAGTTGCCACTGTGGCCAGAAAGCAGAGGAGGCAAGAGCATCCCAGAAGATCCCAGCAGCTTGCTTTCCTTTTTTTTTTTCTTCAAGCCTCCATGCATTGCTTCAGTGTTAAACGACCTTCTTGCCTGTATTTCAAGTTCCATCACCTTTTAATCAAAGGACCATCCAGCCTTCAAAAACAAATCCAAGGACTACTGTACTTTAAAGAAAGGATGGTCTTGTACAGCAACTACTTACAACTGAAAGAAAAAATCATTAAATTTTGATTGTTACGGTAAAGAGTAGGACAGAAGTAGAAAGTCATAACTGCTTTGTTTTGTTCCTTAGAAATAGGGACTGCGCATCTGGCTTTAAATAAATCATAACAGTGACTTCCTGATGGCCTTTTGTTTCCCAGCTTCAAGTGTTTCTGAATCTGCTGAAGGCCACTTTCTTGCTAAAGGCTTTTGTCTCACTTCATCCTAGAGCTTTGTGACAAAACTTATTTCATGGAAGGGAGGGAGTAGATGCATCAGTGAGTGCATGGCCTCTCGACTCCGGTTAGGTTTATTTGAACTTACTATTTCTAATGTGATCCACTGATCACTTACTGACCGTTTTACTGTAAATGTGGTCAAGGGCTGCAGTCTACAGTAAGTCAGTCTATCTTCTCCCACTCTTAGTCCCCCTCTGCTATGTAACCATGTCCCAGCACTCCCTTCCATGTCTATCATAGAGCTGTGCTTGTTCCACAGCTCGGAGCTGCAGAGCACTTTAAAGATCCCATCCACACAACACGGTGGGAGTATAACTGCGTATGTTTTGTTAGTAATACTGAGGAGCTCTCTGACTAAACACACCTTCCTCTTCCCAGCCATCATTACTCAGTTATTCTTTCAGCTCAACTTCAGTCTGTCACTTCACTGTGTCTGTACCTAAAAATTATTTGAAATGAAACATTCAATTATGACAGAGCTTAAACACCCAGAACAAGGCTGCCATTTGATTTCTTTATTTCAGGAATGATAAAGCACTCTGGCATTAAACTCTTGTTCTCTCCAGCAGCAGCCGAGCCACTAAACTGATGACATGCGGATTAACCAAGCAGTCTAGCAAATCATTGGTAGAAAGGGCTGCTTGTGAGGCATTTGGACTGCCGTCTGAATCCATTTGACGTGCAGGCGTTTCACAGTCATTACTCACTAGCAACTGCTTCCTGATGCAGCGTAATTTTCCAGAATGTCCTCCTTCGTTTTCACGGAGATGATCTCTACTGCCACTTTCAACTGCAACTGCACCCATCAAGCTTGTGTCTTGAGACTGTGGTAGAACTTGAATAAGATGAGGCCCAAAAGGTATTTTCTGTGGCTGACTTTTCAGTGCTGAAAAGCCAAATTCATGGGTTAGTAACCCACAGCCCTCCGGTTCACAGCCAACTTCCCTTTTCTTCCTCTTGCATGAGGTGCCTGTCCTTTGCTCTGGACCGGTGCTGCTGGAACACGCCTGCTCTGACACACTTGCCTTTTGACACCTGAAATACGCAGACACTGCTTTATTCAGGTACTGAAGATTGATTTCATGGGATGTTGCCTCAACCTAAGAAAACACCCAGGATAAACCCAGTTAAAAGGCGGTATGTTTCAATTCAGTGTTGTGTAATTATTTTCCACAAAAAGGGAAGGAATTCAAAATTCTTTTTCTCAGGCAGAAAAAACACTTGGGGAGCTAAGCAAAATGTCAGTAATTCTCTGTTATCACTGCTATAATGGGAGCAAGGGAGGGCTTACCTCTGTGGGATTTAGCCAGCCATCTCCATCACTGGGATTTTCTGCTGATTTTATGGCACATACCAGCATTCGAGTTATTGCTTCTTCTACACGGGCTTCATGATCTGCATCCTGCCTCAAGGGAACAGAAAGTGTTTGGAAACAGGTTAGTGCTTGGGTCTCTGCAGAAACCTGGAAGATCTTGGGAAGACCTAAATGGATGGCCTTAGTTTGAAAGCCATACTCATGTATGTGAAGTCAGACTTTTGACACTCCTACTGAGGTGTAGAGCCCCCTCTATGAGTAACAGCACAGGCTTTGGTGCAACTACTCATCTGAATAAGGACTTGCAAAAAATAGGTTCTAGTGTGTATGTGTATAATCTTTTTCCTTACTCTAGTGCTCTGTTGATTGAATCTGATGCTTGAAATTACAATGCAATGTTAGCATTTAATTAATGTATGCATTTATATAGCTCTTTTGGACTAGAAGGACCATGAAAGTACACAGCAAATCTTATGTACCTATTTTGTCTAACTTAAGTACTGAAAACACACAGGATGTTACAGCAAGGCAGCAACTATCTAGGGGCTATAGAGGCACAAAAATGAGTCTTAAGGAAATACTTTATCATGTAACAGTAGCTGACATACTGCTGCAGTCTTAAACATCAGCAGAAGGAAAAACATGTTTCCTCTGAAAGCTGTCCTGTAAAACTGAAAACTGAGTTAGTAACTGGCTCTGCTTCAGGCCTTCACTTCCTGCATCATCCTCTTGGGCAGCTGGGTACTAGCTAGTTTAGGATAACAGAAGAAAACTTTACAGGGTGTTTTTAAGCTTTCTTTACCACATAACTGAATTTCTTGTATGTGGAAGGAGACAATAAGACACTCCAAACAAGATGGGTGGTTTAGTTACTTCAATGAAAAATGCCTAGGAGTGGATATGTAAATTTGCTTTCATTGAGATGCTTAGACATACAAGTTTTGGAAGACAGATGTAACCTTGTCAATCACAGCCCTGAACTGCCTAATTGTGGCTTTGGGGAACATGTCAAGCAAACTATGCATTTTGCTAGTATGAGTGCTGAAGGCAGTAATTCATCCTGGAACCCTGAATAGAACCTGGGATAGAAGCAGGGGAAGTGCTCTTAGTGTTTTGTGGATTTGGCTGCTTGGCTTGTTAATGGCCTCATATAACAAGCCCTCGAAAAAAAAAAAAAAGTTTGGTATCTACATGTGGAAATTATTTAAGTTGTTGCACTCCTGGTATTTGCTCTGGCCTGCTGAAGAGGGTTGTACCGATTGCATGGGAGTATGTTAGTAAGGAAGGAGTACTTTGAGTAGCTCACATCCAGCTGAAAACAAATTAAATTTCTAAAGTCTTGCCAATATAATTAATGGTTTCACTAGGACTATAAATGTTGGCATGATGCACATCTGTCAATATGAAAGCAGCTGGTAACAGCTGCAAGCAAGAACTGTTTGATTTGCTAATGGAAATGTTCTCGGTATTGTCTTTTAGCATCCATGTCAGAATTTATTTTTATAGCTGGATTGCCTAACGCCTCACAGTGCTGCCACCATCAGCTGTAGGGATAGTTTCTGTAAGGAACCTTCACCTGGGTTGCTATAGCTACACTTGGTTATGGTAGCTGTTGATATCTGGGGGGAGGGGTTGCTATTCATTAGCAAGATCCAGCAAATGCTCCTCTGCTCATGATGCCATGCACAACTACCTGCTCTCACCAAACAGGATCTTGGTGATTTCTGCAAGACACTTATGATCAGAAAGGCCACGGAGTTTAGCTCTTTTTTTTTTTTTAAGTTCTTTTACGCATATGAGCATAGCTAACCTTACAGCATAGCTAACGCATCACCTGGCCGCCTGGGAGCTACCAGCCTGGCACAACCGATCCAGTCCTGAGCCGCTCCTCCAGAGGGGGCAATTTGTGAGGCAGAGCTCAGGGTACATGTGTGTGGTGTCACCAGGGTCTTTCTGAGTATGGGGCACACAGCCAGTTCCTCTGAATTACCTCAAAGGCTGCTCAAATTTAATGTAGGCTGCAATGGTTGTTCTATGATGCCATTGATGCTTTCTCTGGCACTGGACAAAGCCCGACTGTACTCAGGGCTATATAAGAGCTTGGTATGTGCAGTGGGCCTGCTGTCCTTTCTACATACCTAGTTTCATCTGGAAAATTTCTCCATCAGGGAAACACTCAAGTGAGTTCCTCTACTCTTGGTTTGATGTTGGTAATAGAAAGGTATTGTGTGGTCTTTGACGAGCAGCTGAATGCATGTGTTCATTCCCCTGGAGATTTCTGATCTAATAAAGGGTGGGTATTTTTTTTTTTAAAAAAAAGCATTAAGTATTTTAAGTATTTTAGGGAGGCAGCTTTCACATGCCTTTTCAAAGGTTTTTTTTAAATATATTAAGCTAGGATTAATGATAAAGTAATTTGAATCAGAAAACCTTCTGGAGCATTGAGATGATATCCCTGGAACCATCCCATACATACTGGCTAACATGAGCAAGAAAAAAATCAAAGCCTGGGGAAAAGAAAATTAATTAAATACTTGAGAAAATCCAACTCCAGGCAAATCAAAACTATCACAGAGAAATGAAAATTCAAACATCCTCTGCCACCCCCTTCCTATCACATTAATCTGATTTAAATTCTAATTTAGCTTTGCATGTAAGCATGTGCTTGAGGTGAAGCTGCTGTTTTGTCATCCCCTATTCAGCACAAAGCTAGTTAGCCCATAAGAAATTGGCCAAGAAAAGTTTAGTTTGTGTTTAATTGTTTGCCTTATTGAGGTGAACTTGCAGGTGATTTCTGCTGAATTGGGGCTTCAGATCTGGAACCTTGAAAGGTTCTTCAGGAAAAACTGTATCTGTAAGGGTTCTTCCCTCCTCAGCCTCTGAAGACAGCACACCCAATAGGGCTGAACCTGGCACGCAAGGGACAAAAGTCCATGTGGACATGGAAGTGCTACATCACCATGACATGAGAAGGAAAATACCAGTTCAATCCAAGAGTTTATGCTGACAGTGATGGGATCAATGGATTCCACATAGTGCCACCAGTGCCTTGGAACAAGCAGGACCTGGAATCAGAGACGTCACATTAGGGTACTAGCAGAAGCCTGAAGAAAAGATGTTTTAATTAAGGTGATGTGGGATGCAGAGGCAGAATGAGGCAAGGAACAGGAGTAGGGGGTAGGAGGTAATCGTTATTTCTTTCTTCTGAAGAGATTTTTCTCAAGACTTAAATGCCCACTCTATCTTTCCATTGTATCAATACTATCATATAAGAAGTGGACATGATCCAGAACTACCTCTCATCCAAACTCTTTCTCATGTGAAGCAGGACTGTAATCTCTGAACTGCTCTATGTAAGCAAAGTCTGGCTGTACAAAGGGAGTGCAGCTGGTGTAGCAGTGGAGCAGGGCTTTAGAGAAAGTCTCAGCCAAGCAAGAATTCTTTGGTAGACTCTCCAACTTAGCAGACTTTCCAGTTCCTTTAAAAGGACTGCCAGCTGGCTTCCTCAAAAAGCAGGTATTCTAATGCTCATCTAGGTGATTAACAATATGTAGCTTTAATTCTGGTAAAAAATCACCAGTATTAAACTCGTCACTTTTAGTAGGTAGGCTTTTAAAAGAAGGTGTCCCAGAAAACATGACAATCTAGTTTAGATCAGAGCTTTACAACTATATCAGGATGATAGCTGTGACATAAAATTGATTCTAACCCATAGCTTTTATGGTACAAAGACATTAATGTTGTTTTGATGATATAGTACAAGCTTTACAGATTACTGAACATTAGATTAACATAGAGCTATCAAGAAAAGCATAAAAGATGGGTTTTGACAGGGAATAAAAATGGTCAGACGGATAAAAATATACACTTCAGAATGAAGAAAGTGAAGCAATGATCCGTATCTGAATTCTAGACAATTCTTTTTCTTGGTAGACACAAATTATTTAAAAGAATGTTCTGCTACCTAGATAGCCCTGTGCTTCATTATATCAAAATACGGCTAATGAGAAAATGTCAGTGTAGGAAACAATGACTGAGGCCCCTGTCCTGCAAACACTTACAGGACAGTCAGAGCAGAGTCATTTCTGGGCCACAGGACAAAATGTTCTCCACAGGTTTCAATTTATGTCAAACAAAAAAAAGCACTGGCTCTCTAAAGGTCAAAAACATTTGGAAACTGTACTTTAATTCAGTACAGCGTACAAAACAGAGACGGAAGTCAGTCTGTGGAAGGCCATTATTTAAAAAATATCACCAATTAGTTATTGCTGACATCTAAAAGTGTACAAAACCCTACACAGACTGAAGCCAAAACATGTTTTCTACAGGACAAGTTTCAGACTAGAAAAGTGCAGTTGCATTCGCTGCAATGGGTTTATCTGTTAGCAAGTGTTTGCCCATGTTTTGTTGATGGCAGAATCATACAAAACCCACTCGTGTGCTCTACAGGGGATCTTACGGTGTGCTCTTAAAGAATTTGGGGGCCGTCCAAACGACAGGGTATAATGATGAAGCCTGGAAAATTCTGGTGTAGCATAGCTTCTGGAGTAAGTAGCTGTTTCCAACAACAAGGTCCTTACTGTGAGACTTGCGTAGGAAGAGTGAGCTTGCAACATGCTGGAGAAGTGGATAAAGACACTAAGGAATTGGGGTATGGTGCAGAGGGACTATGTAGCAAGGGAACAAAAGCAAGAGGCAAATTAAGGGAACTGTATGAATGTTTCAGTAAGAGGGGCTGCCTGGAAAAATCCAAGATGGAAATTAGGAATGGAACGTGCTGGCTCAACATGGCTCATGTGCCAAGTAGAGACAGAACTCTTTTGGAAAGAGGAGGTGCAGCTAGGAGGAAGATACAATCCCCCCAACTAGTCTAGTCTTTTCAAACCAAAGAGGAGGAACTTGGTCATCAGAGATTTTACTTGCCAGCAGGTTAAGAGTAATAACTGCAAAGCCATGTGCTTCTGCAGCTGGCACTGCCTGCTACTGCAATTTATAGAGGAGATACAGAGCTGTGACTCAAAGAGGCAAAACAGGTGCCATAAAGATACTTGCACTCTTTCTCTTTTATTTTTGGCCAAGCTTACGCTTGCTGAAATAAGGATTTATAGCAGCAAAAAAAAAGAAATTCTCAAAAAGCAAAAGGATTAAAACTTTAAGGAAGATGAAGAAATGAAAAAAAGCAATTAAAACCAAAAAATACGGATGGCAAGGGAGCAGCAGAACTAACAAAAGACAAAAAAAAAATCCAGCAAAGAAAGAAGTAGAGTAGGATTCTAGAGTTCTTCTAGGTTTGCAAAATAGAAGCAAAAAAAAACCCCAACCCACAACAAAATCAAAACAAACAAAAACCCACTACTACTGCCCCCAACCATCAGTTCCACAATAAAATAAAGCAGACTTCCATATGTTTATGAATATGGGACACAGATTTAGCTACGTTTGAAACTACATTTCAACAGGAAATGTGAAATTAAACCACAGTGAAATAACACACACAAAAAAACCCACAGCAAACATTTTGCAGGGAAAATACAAAGTGCGAAAGAAAGACAGAGCTATTCCAAGCTAAAAGATGATTTTGCGTTAGCCTGCGTTCTACAGAATACATCCAGCTTTGTGGGCTGGGAAGATACTGATCTAAACAGCATCCAATCAGACAATTTTAATATTTAGGCTAGCGATAGGCAAATATAGCAGATGAAGTCAAAGTAGGACAGAAATCCCAGAAAAGATAAAACAAAATTCTGGTCTGCAGCAGGCGGAAAGAAACCAAGCGAACAGTTGGGAGAGCAAGCGGAGCAATGCCCAAGACTTGTACAGCACAGAGAACAGAACAGGTTTAAATTCTCAGTGGACATGATTAACTCGATACAGCGCAAAGGTAGGGCAAAGGTGGGATTGCTTCGAAAAGAGAGCATGTCCTGAAGTGAAATATCATACTGAAAATTTCCTGCTCATTAGAAAAAGACGTCTGGGTAAACGCGCAAGAAAAGGAAGCACCAAAGAACACCAGTGTGATGGGAAGAAAAAGCTGGGGGGGCTCTTTGGGATCCAAGCAAATCCCAGAGCTGCTTGCAACCCTGGCAATGAAAAATAAAATCAAATAAATAAATGCATAGCCAGCTCTGTGAGAGCACCATGTGAGGACTCTGTGAAAGCACTGCCGCCCCAGCCCATGCCCTGTCCCAGCTGGTGCTCAGAAGGTGTTTCTTACCCTGTGTCCCTCCTCCCTCCCAAGCTGGCATCTTCCCACCTGCTGAAACAGAGCACCCAGGGCCCCTGATGTCAGAAACACAGGCACAGCCCTGGGGAGAAGCACTGTGACCGGGAAGGGACCGGGACTGTGACCATGCTGTGTTCAGAGGGACCCAGGCAAGGGGCTGAGGGAAGCTCAGGGAAGAGATGGAAAGGTAGAGTTAGGAACTGGCACCTTTCGCCTTTGGTCTGCTCGACTTCTTGGGCACCCATGGGGTTCTCCTAGTGTGTTGCAGGCTGAGTGGTGTTTTCATCACCAATTCTAGTGTAAATTCAGCTCCTGGACTTTTTTGCCTCTTCTGGGATGAAGACGATAGTTCTGGTGTCTAGAGGTCAAGCTGGGCTGTCTGCCCTCTCTGTGGGGTGACCTGAGGCCAGCTCCGTAGTCTCCCACATGAAAATTCTTTCCTCCTTCCCCAAAACAGAATTATTAATCATCTACTATGCATAATGCTGTGGACAACTCTGAATTCTCCTTTACTAAAATTACTTAAACTCTTCTCTAACCAAGAGAGTTTTTCACTGCAACCCTTTTTAGGAAGTATTTTATATACTTTGAGCTGGAACATTTCATTGCCTTTTAAAAAGTTTGAATTACTGCATTTCCTGACTTACTGCAACACTTTTTTTGGGTATCAATTATATTCTTCTTGGTTATCGAGACTGTCTCTTCTGCTGTTCCCTACTTTAAGCCCAATCTGAAGTTCTCACCCCTTTTCCTTAAAGGTGGCACATAGGGAAATCCCTCCCTGCCTTCACGAACATTTCTGCTTGCTCAGGGCTGGATCAGAAGTCAGAGGTCTGCCTGCGCTGTTGAGAGCTCTGGCTGCCGAGCAGGATCCCACGGTGTGTTAGGAGCACAGCAGGAGCACAGAAAGAGAAAACCTTGCAGCTATAAGCAGGAACTTAGTGATAACTGTAGTTGTGAGCACAGACTGAGTTGGAGATGTGTTTCTTTAGACTTTCAGAAAGCAGACAAGCAAAAGCAGGGGAGGAGAGCTTCTGAGCAGCAGGCCACGGTGAGAAACAGCAAGCAGTAACGTTGATCTTTTTAAAAATCATTTTTTCCCCATACTGTGACAATGCTTTTCAAGGCTGGAAGGGAGCACACTTCTCGGACTCGATATGCCTGAGACGAGCTCAATTAGGCCTTTCCTTGCACCTCTGGTGTCTAGAGCTGCGCTGGGACACACGGCTAGGAAGCAGGAGAGCAGGCAGCAGGGCAGCTGAGCGCTGCCTGTAACAGCATGGGTCCGGGTGTCCACTACCCCTCCTGTCTGGGGTGGCACGAGAGGGAATGGCATTGCTCGTAGGAGCCCAGCGTACAAGGTGCCTGCTCTCCATTAGGAGAGCAGACATATGGAGCCTCATGTGCCCACCTTCAGACAAGCCGAGATGCGCTTTTGTCGTCAAATTTTTTAACCACCGTCTAGTTATAGGTATATACCTTAAGAGGAAGATGGATTAGGAACAATTACATTAGCGAGCAGGAAGGAAGCAAGAAGCTGGTGAGAAGTGGGGCAGAGGAAGGAATGATCAATGATTTTGTATTTGTATAGCACCTCAGGTTTTTTGTAGCCTTTTGTGGGATTCATCTCTCCTATTTTTAATCATCAAAAAAGTTAAGCATCTATGTGTGTAGGATCCTTTTATAGCCTGTACTGAAGGACAAGATGGGATGAATATTTCTGCCGGACTGTAATTGTATAAGACAAGGAGGATGAATCGTCTTGTAGAGATGCCAGGTTCTTCTCACTGATGGCAGACAAGACATCTGTCCTGGACAGGGTTTAAGTTGAGGATGGCAGATCCTACTCTAGCTCTCTTAACGCTTGTTCCAAAGTGTGGGATGGAAGATACTAGAAGAGACATGTATAAGGAGCCTCTATATTTCTGTGATACAACTTGAGCTTGTAACTCTATGGATATAGTCATGTACAGCTGCAAACTCTAAAACTACTCAGCTGCCTATTCAAATAAGTTAGATATCTAAATGTTATCATAATTTATGTCGAGAACAGATCACTAATTTATAAACAGAAGATGTGTTAAGACCTCTGTGGAAAGGCAGCCGACAGCCACTGGTCAAGTAGAGGATGAAACCTTATAAAACCTAAAGTCTCAGCCAACTACCAAGATTTGTAACAGACGTTCACCTCTGAACAATACAGTGAAAGGGCACAAGGGATGCAGTCAAAGTACGTGTTGTGTGCCGGTACAATATTATAGGAAGGAATTCTGCTTTAAAGCCCTAAACGGGTGCAGAAAAATGACTTGTAGCAAACAATGACCAGAAGGTGGCATTAGGCACATTAAGTTTTTGATATTCAAAGCTGTGCTCACCCTACATGCAGTCGCTCTCCTGAATACCCAAGAACACCTTTGTCTTTATTTTTCAAGCCTTTATTGTTACAATACCTAATCCAAAATGTTCTGTGTACCCTCTGGGAAGGAGTGGAGATGCCATGTATTATCACAAAATAAAGCTGGCTGCAAATTCTGCAGTAATTGCATTAATTCTACATGAAAAACACTGCTAAGCACCTATCAAGATGGTTGTTATTTAGAGATCCTCTCTCTTGTTAACAAAGGAGCTCTTCTACATCATTCCTTCCCTCTCCATCAAATAGCACCAGTCCCCAGACACCTGGCCCATAAGCTTCTGGATGAGATGCTGGAAAGCATCACCCAAAAGGGCGCTGATAAAATGGATAAAGACAATAGCTCACTGCTCCATCATTGCCTCCACATTACTTTCTCCCCAGAAATCCAAAGAGTGTCTCCTTCAAGGCAATGCAGACAACTTTTATTACTGAGCTGGCTCAAGATCTTTATTCCTAGCAAGATTAATTTGTAATTGCTTTAAGCCTAATTAAAATTAAGATCATATTAAAGGTTCACTACCATACTTGATCATTCCAAAGGAGATTATAAATTGAAACAGTGTTGAGGATCATGGATAATGCAGTGCAGAACTGATGTGGCATCATTTTAATCAGTAGTAAAAATTTGTTCTTTGTGCTTTAAATTATTGAACACTGCAACGTTACTAAGTGCAGAATGTGAAACTCATAATTTACTTTAGGAGTATGAGTAGGAGCTAATGTAGTGCAAACAATGAAGGCTGATCACAGATTACCCATTTCCAACTGTACCAGCAGAAAAGCATACTCTTCCCAGTTGATAGCCATCATCCTCTTGTTGGAAACTACTGTCCTGCTCCAGTCTGCCATCTCACCAGTTCATACGAGTGCTCCTCACTCTGCCTCCTCAAAACTAGCGAGATTAGCAAAAATCCATTCTTTCAATTGTTGAAGGCAGCTGAGTTTACCAGCTAGGGGCAAGGGAACACTCGTGCAAGTCACTGAGCTGGCAGGTCAAAAGAGGTGGCAACATCTGGTAGAAAAAGGCTCTAAGTAGCAGCTTCACGGTCTTAAGCTGTCGGAGCAATGAACATTGCAAAATTCCTTTGGAAAGGCCCGACAGTTTGATATGCCCAGGAGTGTGTTACAAGGACATGAGCTGCTAAACAAACAAAAAAGGGTAATTCAGACTCCAAATACAGACCATGATGGTTAAATAAAGAAGGACACTACTTATGGCAGAAGACTAGGAATTAAGAATCCTGAGCCCTACTCTCATACTGCTGCTGACTGCCTGTGTGACTATAAGCCAGGCACTTATAACTGAACTTTCTCAGTAAAACAGGGTTAAAACATCCTTGTAAAGCCCCATGAAACCTCTGGATGGTGTGTGCTCTAAATGCAAGTATCATCATTACAATACTCTGCTGTTAAAGCAAGAAGTTGGGCCAATGTTCCCTGGTGAAGGTTATTCACTATCAAAATATGAGTTCCTCTGGTAGCTCTACACGCTCATTAATCAAATACATTTTATGGAACATACTGGTTTCAGAGTAGACAGGTTGGAGTACTGTTCAAGAAAGTTTGAAAGCAGGTAAATTGGAAGTGATTGCAAGAACTGTGATGGAATTGGGCAGCCGATTGAACTCACTCTCCCAAAGTTTGTGGGTTTTGTACAAAAAAGGCTAGTAAAATAACTGTGAGCAAAGAAAGTTCCCATGCTGAGAAATATATCAAGCCTGAGTGCAGACTGTAAGGGGAGGGAAGTATCACAGTCAGTTTGTTAAGATTTCCCAGTCCTTAATTAGCCAGTTAAATAATTTACTAGAATCTTTAAATTAATATAAAGCTCATATGTGAAGGGTACCTGTCCTGGACTGAGTGTCACCACATGGGCTGTTGTGTTCCTAAACTCAGGAAAGCGTTTCAGATCGGGGTTGGCAACATTGACTTTGCTGAATACGCTGGATTCCTCATAAGGGATCCTGGTGGGATAAAGGAAACTGGTATCACCAGGTGGGAAGAGGTGCCATCTCTTCCTGAAAATAGAGAGAAGATAAAAAATGTATTCAGTGCATGTCAGTTACAGCAAAGAACTAAAGGCAGTAGCAAGGTTTTCAATAAAACATAAATCTGCCTTGCTGTGTGAATCTCCTACGCAGTGAGAACACAGGCAGTGCTTACAGGCTGTCTCCTAAAAGTGTTTTTAAAATATTCCACTTGTTAATTTTTTAACTGAAAAGATTTACAGCTTCTCACCAATTATTTTTAAAAGGCAGATAAAATAAAATTTTAAAAAAAAGCTCTCCCATCTGGTTCTTCCTTCCTCCCTTTTACAGAGCAACACACAGCACTTACAGATGCTCAGAGCATTAAAAATTGCTCTATAAAACAGGGGAAGCAGTTTTGTTAGAGACAACGTACTTTCATTCACTGAATGAATGGCTGCTGTACCACGTTTGTTTTAAAAGGAAGGTATTGTGTGTTTGGAACGGTAACAGAAAGTGGTATGGACATGATCTTCTGTTTCCTATGGTCACCTGCAGTACTTAGTTGGCTGTTGGTCACAAAACCAACCCTCACTCTTAGTAAAACTCACATTGATGCTTCTATGCCACAGATGGGGCAACGGCATCAGTAAATACTAGAGACATCCATAGACACAAGCATCCTGAAACACTGTATTTTTTGGTGTTATCAGTATCACATGATGAAAATGTGGCTTGTGTGGGGCCCCTGGGGCTACGAACTCACTGGTGTGACTAACTGCCCAGAGGGCGCAGGACGGGGTCATTCTGCTCATGAGGGCACTCATGTTCCAGGTTGCTCTCCATGCACCCAAAGAACCCGGTCTACACTCTGCAGTGCAGGGCCAAGCAGAGCTGAGACACAGACCTCGTCCTCAGGAGCTAATGTCTCTATTTCACTTACATAGAACAGATCAAAGAAAAAAGAATACACTAGAACTGGTGGTGACAGTTTTATAGGTACTATAAATGAAATATCTTAGAAGGTACATATGTTATTTAGAGTTTTATACGGCAGTACTTTAGGTGATGGAAATAACCAGAAAGGAATACACAAAGGGAGAATTTATTACATTTAAGAGGTGCCAGACAATCAGTACAATAATGACCCATGCACTAAGCAATGGAAAAGTAAAGGCAGTTGGACAATTTGTGCAGCTCTCCTCTTTGTTTCAAACTCTAGCAAGATCTTTTCTTTTTGTCCCTCTCCTTTGTACTCAGTTCTTGCTTTTTGCCTACTGCGTCTGGTTGTCAGTTCTAAGTCACAGATCTGAAAATGGGAGAAAAGCAGCCAAATGGCACAAAACCAGAAGAGACAGGAATAGCAGGATAGCCAGAACTGCAGAGATCGGCACAGATGTAAGTGCCATGGCCGCTGACATTTCTCAGTAATTACCAAAGCTACTACTGGGAGCAAGCACAAAAAATAGTTCTCCTGAAACCCAAGCCCTACTGCACCTTTATTTTGCCCTCCAAGCTAGAACCTCTGAAGGGGCAGAGAATAATGAGGTTAGGAGGCTCAAGGGTTAATCCTACAGGCTCAGGACAAAGCAATATTGTGAAGCAAAAAATTAAGAAGCTCGAGGGATGCAAGGAGGAAATTCAAGATAGCAACAAAGGGCTAAGGAGTCATCCCTGGCTTTCCCGCAAAGGCAAATCTATTTAAGTTTAGCATAAGCTTATATTCTGTTACAAAGTCTGTCTTGTTTGTGAGTCTCAAAAGGGAATTTTTCTGCTCTGAAGAAGCACAGGATTCACAAGCTTATGGAAGTTTCAATCTATTTATAGGCTTTGCTCTGAAGAGGAAAACAACTTTCGTCTTTTCGGGCCATGCAAAGGCTTTAGGCTTGTCTTTCCCTGAGAGGAACAAGGATTTTGTTCTACCAGAGGGGGAGGGAGCGTCTCGGGAAGGCAGGCAAAATTGCTACGTGGTGTTGGAACTCTGGCTGGAGTTCAACACCTGAAGGTAGAGATCAAAGAGGCAGGGCAGGTACCAGGTCTGCTAGATTACTGTACTTATTTAGTACACCCAATATTTAGGTGGATCCTTAGAAGATATTTAGGCATGTAAGTCTCATAGTTTTCAATGAGATTTCTGTCTCCTAAATACACTTAAGTGTCTGGGCTTCAATGCATAATGCTTACTGATGCGATCTGCAGTCTGCAGGACTGGCTGCAGCAAAGCGCAGTGCTGAGGGGGCTTCCAGAGCGTCTCTGCTGCACGTTCACCCAAAGATCTCAAAGCATGAATGAAAACCCACCTGAGACCTAAACAGTTACTCTTCTTACAGATAAGGAGATGACAAATTCATTTGCCTCAGGCCTTAGAACCAGTCAGCCTGCAGCACCACCCAGCATAGAGGCCAGCACGCCTGACTTCCAGTCCTGCACCTTAATGACAAGACCACCGTGATTTTAGTGTTCTAGAAAACATCAGAGTAATTAATCACATTAAATCCCACTGGCAAATTACTCCTTCCACTCTATACTATCAAACCTAAAAGATGTATGCAACTTGTTTTGTTACTCTAGCATTAGTCCAGCAATAATAGATAAAAAAAACCCCTCAGGCCAATATGCAAGGAAAGGAGGAAAAACAGAACGGGAAGAAAAGAAAAAAAAAAAAGACAGCACGCAAACCGGCAGAAAGATATAGCAACAAAGCCACATGCTCCAAAATTAGTTTGGAGCCTCAAGTGTCCCTTTCAACTTTGCTCACAGCTGGCTGCTCCCATTCTGATGTTCCCCTTTTAAATTAATTCCAGCAGGCTATTAGAGGCTCTTGCACAGAGAATATTGTAAAAGTCTAAACTAGTTTATTTCTATTTTGTTTCTGACCTTTTTATTTTTAACTCTTTATCTCCTAATTCCAAATTCCTGAATTCATAACTACCAGAAAGACTAAAAGTTTATTATCAGAACACATAACACACAGATCAGGAAAGATTTTCCTCAAATAGAAGAAAATAAAGTGGTGTTACCTCCGTGACCCAGTTAAACTCCAGCTCCCCGAAGTTCTGCCGTTTCCTATAGAACAGTTCTGAAGCTCTTCAATCACTGAGAGCTCAGAAGTCAGGACCTAGAATTAATACTCAAGTCCCAAACTAACCTTACAGCGTTACACCCTGCATTTGTTTTATGCATATGCTCGTTACCTTCCTTGTACTTGCAACACTAAGTTGCAGCCGTAGGAGTCCAAGTGGCAGGGGGTGTTTGCTCCTTCAGAACCAATCCACAACGTGCTCTCTTTTCCACTTCTTCCAGGAAAACCAAAGTCAGACCACCTTATATCCTACAGCAATGAAAAGGTTATTTACATAAGCAGTTGAACTGAGTCACATCCCACCCTCAGTTCTCCCAAGTCTCTTCTCCCACCACCACTCAGTCGCTCTTTATCCACTGCAGCTGTTACTCCTCAGAGGGGTTCCCACACGCATAGCCTGTGCCCCTTCCTCCAAAATTCTCCCCTCTAGTAGCGTTTCTTCTGCTGACTTTCTTCTTTTTCTGTCTGACTACACAGCCTCCCAGATCTCTGTCTCCAGTTTTCATCCCAGTCTTTCGTATTACTCAAGTTACCCATTTGCTCTACAGAAGGACTGCCCAACCACTCAACGTGGCTTCTTTTCCTTCTTTTCAAACACTTTTTTTTTGACCCTTTCTCCAGTCTTAACCATCCACCCAAGCAGAGGACTGCTTTTGGAAAAATTCTGATATATGGCATTTTTAAAAAAAAAGAATAAAAGGAAGGAAGGAAAAATTTGTATTCCTTTTTTCAAAGCAGTCTGATAATCCATGTGGCATGTTTGCTCTCGCTTTGCTCCTGTCTCAAGTTTCTCCATGTATTCTGAAAATACAGACTTTAACCCATTGTTATGACTTTACTCCCATGGCATACTGCATTTTTTTAAGTTCCTTATTATTTAATGGACACATTCTTCTTCTGCCTTTGCAACTGCAGAGACAGTGAACTTAAAACAATTTGATGACATATCAGGAAAGGGCATAACAGGCATGCATCTGTTAGGAACATGATCCTGAAGCTTTCCCATCCGTTGATCCTCCCACAAGCAATCCCTTGGGGATGATGACTGGAACATGGGACAGTGAGGTATGTTTCAGATAGTTCAAGGGTTTTGCCAGATGGCTCTGTATAGCTTGGATAAAGCCTTCCCATCTTTCTATAGCTGACCCTGCACCTGCAGGGCCTGATCTTTTATTTACTGGAAAGCATTTGAAGCATACCTGCCAGAGATACCAGTGCCTTTTGGCTGGAGCCCCAGACTGAGCCTTAGGAAACAGAGATTCAATTCCCAGCTTCCTGATGGTCTCAGGCAAATCACTTCATCTCTGAGCTTTATTTTTCCCATCTTGAAAAGGAAGATAACGGTATTTGTTCCATTTTGGTAAAGCACTTTGGGGTCGTTCACATCACCTAACTTTAGGAACCTAATTTAAGCTTGGCTCCTGCTCCTGCCAAAGCACTCTCAATCAGCCCTTGGAAAAGCCTCTCTCTTTCCACTGTCTATAAAGTGCAAATAGGAGTCTAGCCTCCTAATCTAAGTATGTAAGCTAGCTGCTTGCAGACAGGTGGATGACTATCCCTATTTAAGATCTATGGATGAGGAAAACTACAGCTAGACATTATTATAAGGATGACTTCGCCATGACTCCATATCAGGAAACTCTCAAAATGAGTGATAGCCTTCCCAAAAATTAGGTGTTGCTAAAGATTTTGAATTTCAGTGTTATTGATTTTAAAGATATCATTCGAAAAAAAAATGTAGAGGTGTAATATAAACATTTGTCAAAGGCAGCAAAAAATCAAAAAGAAAAAGTTGCTCCTATAGATTTCAGCAGCCATAAAATTTAAAATCCAATACAACTATTTCAGTGATAAAGTTAAGCGTAACACCATCCCTACACTTTAATCTCACACCTAAATAGTTTTTGTATTTTGTTACAATTTAAGTGGAAAGAAAGCACACATAATCAATATTAGATTTAAAAGAACTTTTTGAAAGTGCTGCAGCTGTACTAAATAGTTGAAGCGATTATGGATAAAATAGTTTTTAACCAACGAACTGAAAAGGAACTGGTTGGATTACTGAAATCTTGTCACAGTGGGTTCCTTTTCTACAATAAAGAGCCACAGCAAGAAGAATTGCAGTAAAAGGTGTTCCAACCATAACAGATGGCACATTACTTGTGAATTATATTTATTTCATTTGCTTCTTATAATGAAGTTAATCTGTACCCGTATGTCACTTTAAAAGGTCTCATTTCTATTTAAACTTCATGCATATATCTTGCTTCTGATTTATATCTCAAATTCTGTAATGAAGTATCAACTGAACAAAAAATGTAAGATGGTAGATACTGCTCATAGATTAGAATAATGGAATCATTACCTTAGCCCACACAACTGTAAATGATAAACAGCGCAATCTAAATTTCAAACAACTTCTAAATGGCCCTATTAATCACTATAAATAACAGTGTAGTTGGCCTTCTTTTCCCCTTCAAGTCACCTTACGTAAATCTAAATAAAATCTAAAAAGAAAAAAGGGGTTATCATCAAATTCACACAAGAATGGAGGAGAATTTCCACGAAGAATTCTTTTGGCTGGTATAAATTGTGTAGCAGTATTTCAAAAGCAGTATGAGTCTGGAACTGATGGATGCATTTCACTCCCATGCCTGTGAAACTGGCAGATGACATACACCATATTTGCTTGCATAACACCATCGATTTTTTCCTTCCCAGATTCTGCTTTTAAAAAAATCTACGGCATAACCATTACGTGTGTCTATTCTAAAATTGCAGTACAATCTGTTGCTTGTTATAGGTCAGGTGACGAGGTTGCGGCATGACACCTGCACACAAATGCAATTCCTGGAGCCTCAATTTTGTTCTTGAATGGGGCAAGGGGAAGAAGGAGGTAAGAAAATGGTTTCTTTCAAGTGTATTTTTATTGACTGAACGAAGCAGCAGGCTATTGAGGTCTCCTGAGCTGCTATTACCTTATGCCATAAAACACAGGAAAATGCCGTCTGTTGCGGCAGAAAGAGAGAAGACCAGGGCAGGACCACAGATAGAGGAAGTCACTCAAAGATATGAGGGAGCCTGAAACATCCCTGGAGCTCCCAACTTACTTCAAACCACACGACCCAGTATCAGTCATGCAGCCCAAGTGAAATGATCCTGGTTGTGTTTCAGTGTGCCAAGGAAGGGAGAGGAGAAAGAAAGGTAAGATGGTCTCCGTGCCCAAACCTTACCCTCCCACTCACAGAACGAGAGGAAAGGAGACAGTGTGAAAAAAGACCGAACACTGAAAAACACTGATTTCACTGGTATGAAGGAATAAAATACATATAAGGAGCAAGGGAAATGCTTTCTGAGGAAATAATTAATTTGAATGGGCTTATCAGTTCTTACTCCCTGTCATCCTGGTGATATAGTGTTTGCAGGGAATTATGATTCCATGTTCGCATTTGAAAGTGTAGAAATGAATAAGGTTTCATTTCCTAGTCTTTCTTTTCATCTTTTGAAAAAATACGCCTTTTGTACCGCTATCCTTAATTTTGCCCTTTTACAGTTTGCAAAGAGAAACAGCGAGAATGTAGATGAACCAGTACATTGAAATAGCAGATAGACATGGAGAAAGTAAAAGAAAATACCCCAGCGGGGTGTCCTAATACCTGCATTTAGAAATTGCTAGAGATTATGCACTTCCATGGACAGGTTACTTCATGTGTTTTACTGCCTCCACAGACAATCAAGTATAATAATCCCGCAGACTCAGAATCTCTCCTCCTTGCAAACAGTTAACCTAAACATATTAAGGGAAGGAACTGTGCTACTTGAGAAAATGAGCCACAAGGCAAAACACAGAGTGAAATCATGTTACAGCCTCGTTGCTACAAGTGAATCCATGGCACCAAATCCTCTCTCCTGGGTGGAGCTGTTAATTTGGGTACCGTTTGGGTACAAGGTAGGTCTGGGGCAGCAGCATGGTCTTGAGTTTGCGACACGCCAGGCCTGCTGGCTGCCTGTCTTCTCCACACCCTATTCTCACCTCACATCTGTACCTTCAGCAGAGGTGCAGGGAACGTGTTCAGCTGCAGAGGTCACACACATGACTCGGTGCTCCTCAAGCCTGTCCGGTCACAAAATGATGCTGGGCTAAACAGGAAGGGAGTGCTGCCAACCTGGTAGTTGTTTTTGTCACTTGTGGTGGTGTTTTTAAGCACGTAAGGAGACACAGAATTTTAGTTGGCTGCCACTTGGTACTAGTTCTCCGTTAGCCTGAGAGTCAATAGCTTTTATTTCAAAATTTTAAAATAAATGGCCAAAAGAGTAGAGAGGGGGATAGCAGTAAGAGTTTCAGAAGCTACAACAGATAATTTGCTACAATTAAACTAGAATGAGATAATATTAATGCTTTACCTGGAAAATTTCTGGCTTGTCTTCAAATATCCTGGCAATGTATTTGTAGTCAGCATACGCCCAATATTTGGAGTACTCGTAACGACTGAAGGGTCCAGAGAGACAAGAAGGCTGCCCACAACTCCAAGCCAAAAACTCTTCAAGTGTAGCCTCCACATAGCTACATCTGGTTTCAAACTGGGGAACTAGAGCAACAAAAGAAAAGCCAAATGTTACATGAGCACTGAGCACAGAACAGTAAATATAATACCTAGTTTCTCTCTCAGCTCTGCTTAAATGCAACATGAGATACAAAGTGGGACTAGGTGGCCTGACTCCGGTCAATAAAATGGTTCTCATCACCTAGCTCATAACTAAAGTCTGAGACTACTGCTTTTTCATTAAATTTTAAGTGAATGGCCATCACTTTGAACTTGCTGTGAGGTAAAAGCACACCAATAGTGCAAGGCACCCTTAAGCACAGTAACTCAATAATATGCCCCAGTTCCCTAAACAGCTGAGAGCCTGGCCTTTGCTTCACCTCCCTACCTAAGTGTGAGCTGCAAATGTGCACACAAGTATTTGCGTACCCTTTATTTTGTCTCCATGGATTCATGTAGATGGACATGTCCATCTCCTTTTCCCACTTAAAGCGATAAGCAAATCAGCACAGTAACGGACAGGAAGCAAATTACGGAGCCACACGTGTGCCAAGGATCCATCTAAAATGCCGTGTGTCCTTATTTTTTGTTTGGGACTGACAAAAGCATATCGTGGCGTTCCTTGGCAGACATGAAAGTATTTACCAGCAGTGTTTTGCTCCCATCCTGCTTTGGCCAGGCTGACTGATACAGCCTTTCAGCTCAAGGTCAGGTCACTTGGACGGCCTACAAGACAACCCACATCACAGCATACTTTACTTCTGGTTAATCAGAGATCTTCATTTCCCACAGCCGATAATTGTGCCAGCTTCAAAGAGACTTATCCAATGTTAAGAAAAAATATCACTCACTTTACTATAACTACTACTGAGAAAAAATTACTGCAGCCCATGTGAATGACAATGACAGAGCTGCAATTTAACCTCCTGTAACTTGCACAGAGCTGCTCAGAAATGGGATCCTTTCACTGTTGTGCAGCAGCGGCAGCAGCTCTTCATTCTTTACTGCTCTCATTTTGTTATCGCAGCAATTCCCATAGAGGCTCGTACATTTGTTCTTATTCCTTTTGGGCGGGAGAACAGCTTTTACAAACCTTTACCACTATCATTTTGCCATTTTCGATTGTAGTAGCCTAGGTAGTGGTTTTCCTTCCCTTCACTATCAAATTCATTAACTAAAAATGTTAGAAAAGCCCCACTATTTAGCAATCCATAACCTGGGTCTGTGCAGTAGAAGGGCTCCCTACGTAAGAGCTGCATACAAGACACACAAGCCACTTGCAATAACCAACCCCCCCTATATCTGATTCCGTGTCTGACGCAGTCCCATGCCCTCTCCTGACACCCAGTCATGAATGCAATGCACATCATTTTACTAAAAGGTGGCCTGATGGAAAAATTAGATAAAAGGACTACTGAAGGTGGCTCAATATCTGTATTATTTTGATGAGAACAAAGTGCTCAGGACCCTGCCTATTTTCCAAGATAAGTCAGGAGCAAGTGTTTTAAAGGCAAGAAATATGCTCTTTCTACCTCACAGTGTATTTCAATCTGAGCTTCATTTTAAAAATCCCAACTATGAAAGACAAGACTATCTTCTAGGATATGGTCTCCTCAGGGCAGTGCTCTTGGTTTAATTTATAACTTTTTCAGTACCAAGGTGTGAGTGCTTATGGAAAAATAAACAGTAGCAAAACATGTATTTGGGCAATCTAGAGAGATTATTTAGATGGATTTGTAGTCTGCAACTAGGCTGAAAATGTTACCAATGGGTAGCTAAAAGCAAGAACATTATTAAACGGTTTGCTAATACTTAATGACTAAAAGCTGAAGGTGTTTTGTAATTGATAAATTGTAGATTAAGCCATGTAAATCTAAAGTAAACTACCAGTGCTGTGTTCTGACAAGGTACCTGGAGGCATGACAGTGCTCCGCTTTCCCATCTAATGCCACAGACTGAAACTGGAGGGAGGGAAGAAGTGCTGGTGGAGGAAGCAGCTCCCCTCCTTAGTTAAACGCTGGTCCTGACAGACACGAAATTCTGTTCTACTCAGAAAAACAATCTTTGCAATTAATATTAAGGGAAATGTAGAAAAAATAAGAGCCTTAGAAAATATCCTAAAGCTCGAGTAAGAATGCAAGTGAAATGTCTCCTCCATTTCTTTAAACTTAACAGAAAACCAAATGTCTATTCACAGCTGCTAGGGAATTAAAATTATTTAAATGAATAATCTAAGCAAGGAATAACCATTTAATACTATAACAAAGCACAGGCACACTCACAAACCAAAAAACTGACCATCTATATCCAACTCCAATAAACACCTCAAATCTCAGCTTCATGCAACATTTTTTCAGCCTACAGTATTTGTACTGTATTTTAAGCTTCCTATTCAGCTACTGAGTGTATAGCTACCTTTGCAGTCCTTCTCTGAATCAAACCTCAGAGGCTCGAATTCTTTTCCTGTCCTTCGTGGTAAAACCTCTTGGGCAGACGTCCAAGTTGCAGCCCTTGTCTATCCAACCGCATATCTGACAGCATCAGCTCTATCCAGCATCTAAGAGAAATTTCCTCCAGAGATCTTGTGACTCATAACTGGTCAGCATGACAACCTCTTGTTCTCTCCAGCTTCTTCACAGTAAAGTCACTGTTTATTCATTTTACTACACAACCAGGGAAAATGGTCAAAATCAGAAGCATCTGCATACAGAAGTAAGTTTTGTGAAAGCTTTCTTCTTCCTTTGCCGTTGCTGGTGCGCTCCAGGTAGCTATCAGATAGAGGGACTACAATGCTGCATTTTCTCTGCCAGAAACTCAGCTTCTGTAGCTGCTGCTCACCCTTTATCCCACTTCAGAAAAAGAAATCTTTTAGTGTGGCTGGAACTAGATGGGTAGGGATTTCCTGATTAATAACAGCTTCATTTTCTTGTAATGAATGCTGGTACTCTCTCCGGAGGTATCTTATCTCTGTCAACGTTTAATCCTCTGATTGTATTTTTTCACCTCTTATGGATACATACTGTTTAACTTGTGTAATCAGACAGAATACTATTAAACACACAAACTTTGGTAGGTACAAATAATTCATACAAATAATACTGCTAGCTCTCATGTTTTGGCATGTTCCAAACGTGCCTTCCGCATCCATATGCCTCAGGAAGTTCCAAACTAGCAAGAAAATCAAATATAACATCCAAGCAACTCCCACCAAGTTGCCCCATTTGCAGTTCTCACTTTTTCTATTAAGGAATCTTCAGTTTGGGAACCCCTACTTAGGCTGCAGATGTGGCACTAAAGAAAGATAGGAAGTCATCATAGTAAGAGGTCTCAAATAATTTCAGATCTTCCAGATGAACCTCATGGCTTAAATAATCTCAGAAACTCTGAAGCAGCCATTTCAGAGTGACATCAAAATATACCTACATGCAAGAGAAAGTTTCTTTCTTGTACATGTTTCCGACTCAGTGGCAGGAGTGGTCCTGTCTAGTCTTAAGGCAATTAATCTATTGCAAACATAGGAGGAATATTCAGGGAGATCAGTACAATTTTAGTTGTATTCTCCTGTTGCTTTCTCTAACCACATCACTGCCTCCGTTTCACCTGGGAAAGTCAGCATGAACAACAGTAAGAAAGAGAAGCTCTTGTTGAAAAACAATGTTAAGCACACAAGGGTGAGATCAACCATCTTCCAAGTGACAGTGGCACATGAAATGTATTACATTATTTCAGACTCTCGAGATGGCTTGGCTAACGGCTTCACTAATATATCCTTACAATGCAAATTTTTTATAGCATCACAGGTCTCATTTGGTTATAATATAACCCCTGAAGGCTCTACCCATCTTCTTGAAGACGTTTCTAGCTCACATTAGCATATAATGGAGGTTCGTGGAGACAAACTTATTTCTGCCTAGGGACTGATGCCTTTACAGAAAGGCAAAATACAGATAGATGCAACTCCAAGATACAACGTCCAGTTTAAATCCACTCTATATTCCTAGTGACTACAGGTTATTGTTAAGTGATGACTCTTATCTATTTAGTTGGTAACATCAATCCATCACTTAGCTATATAACACGCCATCAATCCCATCAGCAGCTTTCGCAGTTGGCATACCCATTTGGCTCTCTAAAAGTGCCTACCAATTAATGAAGACTGGGACCAAAACTATCCTTTTACCTGGTAAGCCTTGCATATTTAAACTGAGATATATTAACAAGGTATCAAGGAAAATGTCATATACACACATCTTCCCTATTGGCAATGGGATGCCTTTTACTTGTAGTGGAAGAACTGGCTGATACCTCATCGAACCTTAGAGAGATTGCTGTGAAGATGTGTAGATATTAATTCTACACCTCAGTTATCCCATCTGTAGAAAGTGAATAAATAACATCTGTTTTCCCAGGAATGGCACAGGAATCATAAATCCATGCTGGTATAATGCTCTGAAATCCTAAAATGCCAAGCATTTTCCCTCTAACACTTCTATTTCATGGCTTCTCTTGCAAAACCTGAATATGAAATAATATGGTCATGATGCTATGAAGAAAGCAAATTTCACACAGCGTTAAGTAAGATAATGTGACGTAATCCTACCACTTTCATAGCAATTGGCAGATCCCCTCATCTGGAGTCTTTGTGCAGACCCTATGTTTGAAGAAAGAGGTAGTCCAACTGAAGAAGGTTAGAAGAGTACAGAAAGAATAGCTAGGTGGGTTTAAAAAAACTTGACTTATACTGAACGTTTTTTAAGAACTGGGTTTTTCTGGTCTAGGGGAAAAAAAAAAACCTGAAGAGAGACAAGATACCTTAGGCAGAATGTAGAAAGTGCATGGCAAAATGTATTTTGGTATGTGGTTGGGAGGGCAAAGGATGTACAGGGCACAAATAAAGCAATGTATAACCTCTAAAGTGGCTAGTAGATTGCTACCCTGGAGCATGTTTCCTGTATCTTCCCTCCCTAGTATAAAAGTCTGTCTGTCTAGGCATAGACTATGACTAGTATTGTGTGGCTACAGGCAGAAATGAAGTTGTAGTATTTAAAATCAAGTGCAAAAATGGTCTTTCTCCCATGGCATGTTCTGAGATGTCTGAGTGAATCTGGAGGGTTAGAGGTGAAATTACTGTACTGATGTCAAGTGGTTTTCTTATTGCATCTTTCATCACAGGACTTTAAAGTATTGAAAACCACCACAGTCTTAGAAAGCCTCTGGAGGAAGGTAAGAATTACCACCATTTTACAGATTAAAAAAAACAAGAGAGACTGGTTAATTGGCTCATTCTTTAATACACCAATTTGTGGCTATGGAAGCTCAGCTCATGTGAACTGCTGAATCATGTATAAGACCAGGGCCAAACGCCCACACTACAAAGCAAGGAAAGAAAACTGAGAGTCTTGATTCTTACATGTTAGTGTTACCCACCAGACTTCCTACTAAGAATAAACACACAAGAAAGAGAAAGGAGAGTTCCACTGTAGGCTGAATCCCATGTCCTAAAAACAAAGCCCGTGGTGAAAAGCAGTACATTAGGGAGTGAACGGTGACAATGGAGAGGGAGAGGATTGCAAAACCTAAAAAAAGAGAGTTGTGACATGTAACACCTGTCCACCTCAGTCTCACCTAAATCCACCGTCTTCAGGCCTAGCCTAAACTGGATTGTCTTTCCATCCAACACCGCGGAAAGGTATTTCACATTCCAGTGCAGGGCTGGCCAGTCGCTAACCATGTTACAGAAGACTGCAGGTTGCTGTAGGGACATCACAATCTCCTTCGTTTTCTCAGGAGTAAATGGTTTGACATCTTCATCTGTGTAAAGAAAAAAACAGCTGTAGAGAGATGATTTATGATACATTAAGTGTTACCTACCATCTCCCACAGCATAGGAAACATGAAGAACTAACACCTCCTTTGTTTATGGTTGATTGTTTTATTACATTTATAGACTTTTTAAAATCAAATTTCTACTACAAACACTGCAAGAACATTCTTACACTAAATTAAAGTGTAAAGCAGTATATTAGCACACAAAATGTAAAAAAAATTAAAATAAATAGGCATGTGCTTAGAATTTTCACTCGTAGCTTAGGCAATAAAGCACTGTAGACAAACTGTTTAGAATTAGGCTAACAATAAAAAACCCATACAAATAATGTCCAGGGTTTAGAGAACATAAATTTCATGAATAACAGTCTTTCTGCATGGGATTCTTTCCAAGAGGCGTAGCACGTTGTCAGAGATAGAAAACCAGGTTCCTATGCATTTGATTTAAACCAAGGAACAGAAGCGTAACCAAAACAGCAGGTATTTTAAAAGTGTTTTAAAATTTCTTTTCATCTACAGAATTTTGGAAAAAGGAAATTGGGCCAATCCAAGAACTAAACTAACCCAAGATTTCCATTTACTCCTTTGCTGTTTAGAGATTTATATGCCCTACTGAAACTGTCAAGCTGAAATGCCCGCAACCCTGAATAAACTCAGCACTTTCAAAACAACTTTTCTTTAGGGACATATTAAGAAGGAAAACCTGATTTAAAAAAAAAAAAACAAACCCTAACAGCTCTATAGAGCTGAAGCAGTGGACTACAACTTCAGATCATAAAAAAATCCATTCATTATTTTAACCTCTATTGAAGTTAACTCATCCAGAATTGGTATCTGTATAATGCCTACAGAATCGATACGTATAGTTCCCCATGACTCCCAGCAGCTCATTTAAAACAAACCAATTCAATCACGCTATTTAGAGGACAAATCATGGTGTGGCATGCACAAAGGGTCAAATAAACACAGGACAAGAAAATTCCCTTTACTGCTGGGTGCTAATTTTGCCTCTCGCTCCTCCCTGTGTGTGGGTGGTGGGACAGGTGGTGGAGAACCAGCCAGTCCCAGGCAGGGCAGCTCTGCGGTGCCAGCTGGGGGAAACACAGAAGACCCACTGGGAACAAGGTCACTGAGGAAGGTTCGTCAGGATTGTTTCGAACATAACAATTTAAAATAAATATATGACTGCTGAAGAGTCAATGGCAGGAACAAGAAGAGCCCTGTGCACGCTGTATGCCATATCTCTTTGGTAACTTTTGTGAGTCCCCTCTTCTTTCAAAAGGGTTTATTCTCCAGCATAGCTGTACTTTTTAGTTTTCTAAATTAAGCTGCTGTCTTCACACAAATTCAGTGGGAGGTATCAGGGCTGGGGTTTCCTGCAGCTGAGGGGTCCATTCTCCCACTGACTTCCAGGGAAACTGAATCCCTCTGTCCTTTCACTCATGAAAACTCCATCTTGAAGCTTCAAAACTAAAGACCTCCAATATTTTACCTTCATGGAACATAACATTTTTAAATGGCTTTCCTTTCTTAAGGCAGATGACAGGAGGGAGTCCGGGTTTTGGTTTGTTTTCCACGTTTCCCCTCATACACAGAGCAACACTTGACAGGATGGTGTTGCTGTGACACAGAGACGTCTACGACACTTGGCCTCCAGTCTCGCACTCCAGAAACTCGCACAACCAGGACATAAGGAGGCCCCACGAGGACCGTATGTCTAACCATATGGTCTTCCCCACCCCCGGAAGGAGGCTCGGGGGGTTTGTGAGCGATGGGTTAGTATACCTAGAGGGAGCAAGTCCAGAGAAGGCAGAAGGACCATCTGCAGACACAACGGCATGTGCTGGTGCAGCTACCAGGAGCTGGCTGTAGGCATGGTAAGAGGTTAAAGCTCAGCATGTTTTTTCACAGTGATGCTGTTCGAAGGCTTAAGGCAAGACTCAGTCCAGATCTGAATGCTCCCTGGGAGTTCACAAAACTTCTTCTGTCTTTAACTGGTGCAATTATAATATCATACAGAGGTGGTTTTCATGATGTGGGAGCTGGCTGGCCTTGCATACCTTTCAGATTTTCCAACTCATAAAAATGAAATTATTCCTGCTTAGGCTAAGTTTATCACCACGAGGCTGCCTTTTGGACTACTCAATAGTTTTCGTTTTAAGGGCAGGACATTTAATTATTTTAGAGGATGTAAATCTAAATAAATGCGAGAAATTAGTGGCACTTCTTTAAAGGATTTTGTAAAGCTGAGTTTTATTGCAAAAGCTTCAGGTTTATCCTGTAACTTCAGTCAACAGTCGGGATGTGCTACAAAAGCAGAAATTTTACTAGGAGAGACAGGAAGGCTCACTGAAGCCAACTGTTGATTCTGTGTGGCTTTCTAATGTGATTTCCACACACATATTGTGCTTTTGAAAGGTGTGGTTTTAACCACAGAGAATATACAGTGGGAAGCTCAGAGCTCAAGCTACTGGGAGAATTTGTATCCATGTCAGACAAAAAAACCCCACAATTAGACTAAATAGCCTCGCCTCTACTGAACGCTTGCTGGAGGTTTTTGTCATGTCGCCATGCTTTATTCGGTTGTAAACCTATTTCACTTTAAAATTTAGAAACAATAAAAGAGGACAGTCTATCTTAGTAAGATGCTAATCATTCCTATCTTCAAATGGTATTATCTTTTCCTGATACAGATAACCAGATACAATACATATGATACAATCAGCAGTGAAGTTTGAAACGTTTTAGAAAATTTAAAGCCTTAGACAAATGAACATTAGGGTTTTTTGCAAAGACAAATGAGGATTCTTGCAGATTTTCTGTGAAGAATCTTTAAGCGTCTTGATTCAGTTTTATGTATTCCTTGGTGAGAACAGCAGTCAGCTAAACATAATTCTTTCCCCATAATATTTGTCATGCATATCTAAATGCCTGTTAGAGAAAAGGCACATGATAAAAGATAAATATCATATACTACATCGAATAGGTATTATGATAATTTGGAGAACTCTGCTCATGACCAACAGAGATTTCTGATGGAACTACATGCTGTAGGAGTAGTAAAAAGTAATTAAAAGAGTTATCTAAAGATATCTCTTAAAAGAGAGATTAGCAGAAAAAATTGTAACTTAAAATAATAATAATAACAACAACAATAATAGTTTCCTTAGTTACTGTTATCATAGCTTCACAAAGACTTCATCAGCTGGGCTTTTGCTTCTCAGTTCTTCCTAACCTGAAATTGATGGTAATTGATTCCTAGTCAAAACCTGAGGTTGTATAGCATACATAAGGGCACACAGTTTGGACACGGATGTGTATAAGTAAAAGGTGTACAAATAAAATGTGTTGCAAAGAAACAAAATGCCCACGGAACATCCTGGGCATTAGCTATTAAATTCCTAGGGGAGATCAGGTAGCAGGAGAGAATAGAAATGCATATTGCCTTTGAAAAGAAAAGCTCTGTTGGAGTCTTCATCTTCTCAGTTGTACTCCGATCCAAAAAAGAAAAGGAATACTTTAAATTAGTTCTGTCAGGCTCAACAAATGATGTGGCTTCACAGCACAAAAGGAAGCAGGAATAATTTGTCTCATGTTTTGACTTTACACAAGGTATGTATAGAATCCAACCAGGAACTGAAAAACCAAACCAAGTTTTAGTTCAAGTTTTGTAACTGTGATGGTTTATATAATTGGCGAAAAATGTAGGTGTTCTTTAGAAAGATAACACATTGCGAAATAGAGATCTTCCAATTAAAAAACCGAAGCTGTCCAGTCGTCTTTACATGAAGTGTTGGAAAATATGAAGATTCATCCAGACTCAGCACTGAGGGCAGGTAAAAGAAAAGAACTAGCTGACTACTTGCCAGTAGACTTTGTGCTTCTAAGAAAATAAATTAATGTTTCTGATTAACAATTTTTCTGAATAACTGAGTGTGGTTCGGGAATAGAGTTTAGCACAGCAGGCAGTCTGATGAAAAGTGGACTTGATCAAAGTTGTTCAGAAGTTAAATGTACTGTCATTAAAAAGCTAAATGCACTGTCATTCATTTAAAATAATTTAGCAAATTAGAAGAGTTCATTAGTGCGTGGTAGTTGGCTTCTGCCAAAACACCCTGCTGCTTAAATATGAGATTTAATTGAGAGGTATTAAAATTATTTTCTAAAAGAGGGAGTACAAGGAAATCCTGGTAATGTATTTGGTATAAGCATCATCAAATTGTTTTTCTTGCAAATCTGTAATGCTTCATTATACTTATTTCTTAAAAAAATATGTAACGTTAAAAGAAAAATTTGTATATATAAATTTTGTATTTATTAATACAGAGCAGCCAGGTCACTCAAAAACATCAACTAACCTCTAAAATCTTAACTGTCCAACAACCAGGAGTGAGAAAAGAGAAGGTATAGGGGAGGACAGGGAAACTCCCCCAACCTAAGAGAAGTGACTTGGTTTGGAGGTCAGACTTAATGATTTCACAGTACATTAACTCTGTAAATTAAAAAACAACTGTATTTAATCTGCATGTGATTACAACGTTACGCACTATAATCAGCCTACCCTGGGCAAACAGACTGCATCTACAAACACACGAGTAGTTTTCAGGACACACCACATGAACATCTAGGTATTACTTCCTGACCAGTTATTGCTGTTACTATTATTTTTGACTCCGGGTAGGTCAATACTGCAGATGCAGCACAGCTGGGGAGCATCTAACCTAGATCTGCAAAGATACTTTGGCTACTGAAGGACAGTTAGCAGTTGCACGGAGCCTCTCAGGATAGACCAGTCTGCATTGCTAAGACTGGCACCTGAAGCTTACTCTGGCAGCCTGAAGCCAACACACCTTTCCTTGCCTGCTGTGTCTGCTACAGCAGAAGGAGGGCATCAAAACAGCAGAAAAAGGCCAAAAGAGGAATTTGTATGTGAACTTACTTTCCAGTCCTCCTGTGGAAGGGCTGAGGTTCTTACAGTTTTTCTT